CTCCGCCAAAGAGGTTATAGATTTGATGCTGTGTGTCTGATAGCAAGATTAAAATTTAGTAGAATGGTACATGACAATAAAAGAAAGACACCATTCGATTTTCAGAAGAAAAGGTCAATTCGTATCCTGCAGTTTTACGCACTATACACATCCTCCGGCATATTGTTGGTGCTGTATTTGGGCACAGGGCTCTATGGAGTGACTGCTGTATATTTAAGTGTTTATATTCGGTGAACTGTCAGCCTCTAGAAACATAAAACCATATGCTTCCTTATTATTTTCAGTGTTAATGTACTAATTTTAAGTGTTATTATTCAGTGAACTCTGCTCGTAGAAATATAGAAACCAATATGCTTCTTTATCAGTGCCAATTTTAGGATTGTCCCAACGTAAGGCTAAATTGGCTGACGGGGGTCTGAAAATTTGCAACAGACATCAAGGGACAAAGCGCTGGTGAAAGCCAAGGAGAGAGACACCTACAAAAAAGCTACTCTGTTCATTTTTTCGTCCAGCTGATCAACGCAAAGACATGGCCTGTTGTCCTATGTGGCAGCTTAAGCTACCCTACTCAGTGGTGCCTCAGCTGTTCCTTATTAGAATGGAAATATTTAGTAAGTTTGTATTTGTAAAAGTAATCAAGTAAAAAGATATTATCCACACAAAAGTGATGGCAACGTCATCTCAACATCGAAGCTGTACCCTTCTTTCTCTTTCTTCTATTGAAGTGCTATTTTTTTGTATACTGCAGCCACTGACTGCAAAACAATAATATGACTGTATGATTTAAAAGCAGCTTGAGACAACTTAATTGTGTGTGCTATGGAAAATTATGCAAAGCCATAACTAGTACTAATATATTAAAACTGTAGACCCTGGATGAAATGCTGTAGTGGATAAAAGTTAAAAGTGTGGTTAGATATGATCTCGCATCATAGGAGAAGACAACAAGTTTAAGGAGTCTATCGACCTATATTGGCTGAACTTGCGATAATCATTCCATGCGTATGCATATAACATCACCAAAATGTCCAATCAAGTTTTTATTATGTTGTGTTTTACAATTAACATTTCAATGTTTGTGCGCGTGTGTCTGCATATTTAATCATTCAGCGAGAAATGCACACCTTATTGTGCGGTGTTTAGTAACTATCCACAAGCTGTTTTTGTATTCTGATAATTTATGAACCTGTTTACAGTTATAATCATTGTTGGAATTGCAAAAAAAGTATAGAATATGTTTTGCAGTTGCTACAGACTTGTATGTGTCCTTATTAATTCACTTCAAGTTGATATGTAATCATAGTTTCAAAAAGTGATTTCCATGAGATATGTATTAATTGAATATTGAAATGGATTTATTACTGTCTGTCATTTTTTTTAGCTACCAACCAAACACAGATTCAAGCTCTTTAATTCTTGTTAAATAGGCTTCATTTATAACTATTCAGATTGTGCAGTAGACCCGACTAATGCAATTCATACCACAATAATTGTTGATAGTTGGTTGGCTCTGCTGTGAATTCACGAAGGTCGCGGGAGTCCACTACTTTAGGATACAGTGTATGTAACAGGGCCATGAATCTTTTATTTCGCATTGTATGTTTTTGTTCTGTGCACCCGGCATAATCTCATGATTCAGATTCGTGGGAATCAGGAAGTTGAAGTGTAAATCAGGGTCTCCACTAGATCCTCAGTTTTGATTCACTTGGTTTTAATAGATTACATAATTTTTTTTGTAGAGTTTTTATTTATTCTTTCTTTATTCTGAAATACACTTTAAATACAATGTACTGGTTTCCAAAGTGGTTCAGTTTGACACACAAAAGTAATAACAATTTTCAAAGTTCTTTACTGTACTCTAAGCTAAACTAATAAAAATGCAAATACATGAATTTTTCCTTCCTAGAAGCTTCTACATTTACAAATTCTCATCCAGTTCACACCCTGGGTTTTATCACCTCTTTAAGCTAGGCTTAAATCTTTCCTTTTCTGATCTTATTAATCTGCATAAATTCCATATTTATTTGTTATTTGTTTTGGTTGATTATTAAATTAAAGCACATACTGTAGAAACTGTGAAATATATCATACAATAAATTACAAAAATATGTAAATTATTAACTCCAATTTCACATGTTTAATTTGTTGTCTTTTATGACCATGCTCAATTGCAAAAAAATTATTGTTTTTTTTTCAAACATTTCTCTTTAGATTTGAAATTGCGGACATCTTGGAGACATCTTCCTGAGTATGAAACTCCTTATAGTACTTCAGTACCACAATAGCACAAAGAGGCCATGCTAATATTAAAGAACAGTATGCTATGCAAATATACTGTATATAGAACAACTGTATAAATCTAATATAAAGGTTATGATCCAATGCCTAAGCAGGTACTGACAGTTGTAAGCACTAGTGCTTTAGTGTAAATTTGACTAAGATAGGTCAGTGAGTGCAGAACTCTCCCCTTTCATGTAAGAACACAAACATCTATCTGAATTTAAACATATTAGAAAATTGATAACCATGTGTGAAATCAGAGATTTCCTAGATATTCCCACAGTAGGTAAAAGGGAACACCCAAATACCTTCCTCACTTAACTGTAGGATCCCACCCCTTTCAGATCTTAGGTCCTTGATTGCCACTTGCGCCGGCTAAACCATTCTGGATCCGCCACTGGTATTAAATTGCTGTGTTGGTATTTTTGGAGAAAAAATGGATTTGAACCCAGGACCATGGATTGGAAGGCAAACATCTTATTCTTAACCATTTCTACACTATACTCTTTGTAATATTGTACTGTGGATTGAATCTGTTTATTCTAACAGACTCAAGATCAATTCCTATTCATTGTATTTGTAGAGAAAAGTCTGGAAAACAATAAAAACTTACTGATTTTGATTTACATAAATGCTTATTGATAAGGTACTGTATTGTTGATTTTTCAAGATATTTGTAGTAAAAAGTCTGTAATCAATAAAAACTAAATCAAGATTTATTTGTCAATTAAAAGTTGATAATTGAGCCTTGAACCTTTGTTTTTAATGTAATGAATTGTCTTATGTTTTGAAATGCAAATAAAAAAAAAAATTAGCATTTTCAATATTTTAATTAATTTATACTATTTATGTAATTGTTTTCAATTATTTACTTTCATTGTTTTTACTGTAGAATATATTAATACAGAACCACTTAGAATTCGATGCTACAGCACTGAACTTGTTATTCAGTGTAACGAGAGAATAAATAAAGCAATAAATATAATGGTTATAGCCCACAAATTTTAAATCGGCAATTTGCAGGTATATTTGAATACGAATATGATCGTAGTTTTAGTTCAGTGTAGTGGAAAATCCGAGATAATTTTCTGGACACACGCATCAACACGTAGGTAGTTTTCAAGCAAACAGTTTTTGATTGCTTGAACATGATTGTGTGTCGCCAGATGAAGATGCTGAGGAAAAAATAGTTTTCTCATGCTAGGAAATATGGTAATGATATATTTTTGGTGATTTTGTTGTGCAAGTAGAAGTAAGAAGACATAAACAAATCCTTTCACAAAAATAACATGTTTCGCTAGACATGTTGAAGTAGAATTATGTCATGGATTTCAAAGGTAGTTGATCAGTTAAGGACTTGCGTATTTCTAAAACATAGGTAGTTCTGTAGTAGAACAAAAGTCATAGAAAAATGGCTGAGACTATCACTCTTAATTTTTTTAAGTCTGCAGATTGTTATCAATCTATTGTTTTCCCTAATTTTATGGGCTGTAATTTATTTTTTTTTAGTTTACAGGATCTAATATCATACCACTTCTTTGAATGTGAATGAATTTGATAAATTGTGATTTTTTACCCATAGTCGTACAGAGCAGAGCATCAGCAACTGCAGTAAATAATAATGTATACTGGTAATAATTAGAGAATATAATTACTTTCTAATAACTAAATACAAGAACACAATTATTATTATCTAGCTCTTAACTTACAGTAAACGTTACAGGATGTTTTATGCTTTAGTACCTTCTTAAGTTTCATACCCAAGATTTTTCCTCCATGTTGATTTACAAGCATCTACTCATTTGTTAATTAATGAGAATATTAAAGAGGCATCTTGTGTTGAAAAGAAGTTCGCAATAAATCTAAATTCTAGCCATGTCACATTCAATATTGAGTGCAATTTATAGCGATGTTGATTATAGCCGTGCTCTATTACATCTTAAGAAACTAAGCGGAAAATAGTTTGAATTTCAGAGATTCATTCTACCTGTTACCTGTGCAGCGTAGCTTGCGGCGTGCAATAAGCCTCTTTACTAAGCAACGTGACATTTGCTGTCATTACTTTGCAAAACATCGTTCAGACACTGTAAGATCCTTATAGTTTTTTTGCTCATCCTCTTGTGTCGTTTAACTCTTATTTCTAATTTGACATGGAATTGGCTGAAGGTCAGAATGCGTCGCCTCTCCATTTAATGAATAAGGGTTTTTTTTGTAATGCATTATGTATTGTGTTTGATGTTTATTAGAATCTTTTTTGATATGGCATTTTGTTGTTGTCACTATCTTATTCATTATAAACACCCCCGTTCCATTTCTTATTTTGCAATATAATTTTTTCTTTTGCTCTTTCATTATTTTATTTTTACCATATTTTCCATCATCTTTCATCATGATCGACATCGTCATCACCATTATTTTCATCATTCATCATCATCATCACCATTTATCATCATTGACATCTTCAGCATCATCATCATCATAATTTTTAATTTATTTTTTAAACTTTATTTCCAGAGGATAGTCCATCCAGCAAAGCTGATCATTGGGGCCTTCAACAATAAAATACAATAACAAAGCATTGCAAATATATATCATATATAAGTGATATGTACAAATTATCACCATTTATCCTCATCATCTTTCTGCCATCATTTATAATCCTTATCTCTACAGATTTATTAATACCATGATTAACTGTTTATTCCTATCTCGTTTTACAGTCTTGTATTGACAATAATGAGCCGATGATGAAGCTGCTGTTAGAACATGGTGCTGATGTGAACATCATTGATCGGGAGCTGTGGACGCCGCTGCATGCTGCCGCCACCTGTGGCCATATGCACCTGGCCGAATACCTAATTAGTCAGTAAGTGGATACTGCTTCCTCCTACGTTTGAAATATTGAATCATAGTTGCTCGCTAATCACCCTTTTCGGAAATTGATCTTATTAACTAACTAGTAAGTTACAATAAACCTTTCATTTCATTTATCTTATTTCCATCCCGACCAACAATGAACCATCACCTCGAAAAAGCTAGTTAATTACTACTCGTCCATGATAATAAAATAGTATAAATAGACATAATAACATTAAACCCATAGAAAAATATGAGAGAGCGTGCTTATAAGTTTTTGCATGTTATTACTTAAACTTGAAGAGATGATAGATTGTAAATAATATTAAAAAAAGCTGTAAAGAAATGTCATTATTATTATAAGGCAATCGCACATCCTTTTGGCAACATTGGGTGTGATGCCAAGTGAATAATAAAAATAAATAAAAGAAAATTATAAATAATAATTATAGTGTATGAATGCTGTCTATGGGAAGTAACATGAAGACCAAACAATTGAAAAAGATGACAACTTAAAGATGATTTGACACATTTATAGAGAAAACAAATGTTGAAATTTTTTTTTTTTTTTTGTGAAAAGGGGATTCCCGCATATAGGCCCAAACCACCCCTAAAATTAGCACCCAAACATTACATTTTTTCCAAGTCATGCTCGCTTCAGCCATTCCTCAACCCTATCTCCAACATTCCCAAAATAATACAATAATTGTGAATATTTAGTGTGTAGGGAAGATGTAGAATACTTTAAAAGGCTATTAAAACAAAACTGAGATCTTAATAACCATTTAACCACTACATACTGTAGGTAATGGAGGAAATGATACAGGCTTTTCACTGTATGTGCAGCAGAAGCCTTGAGTAGGAACACAAATCATGTACAGCAACAAGGAAACTCATGGCACGTATTGTCTGAACATGAAGTAAACAATATGGAAAAGCCTATTAATACTTATACTTCACTTACCTTTATATTAATATACCGAATAGCACATCCTGTTTGGGTGACTGAGCTCTGTCGCTTTTGCTATTCCTTGGCACTGATTTGGTTTTTCTTGCAATTTGTTGTATTTTTGTTTTCTTCTTTTTTAATGTATTTCTGGTTTTTTTTTGGTTTTTTTTATTGCCAAAAGGAATAAAATTTAAATAGAAAATGAAAATAAAAAGTATGGCGCATCATATTTTTACCTGTTATTGAAATGTGTATGATACTGTAATACTGCAGAAGCTTCAATGACACTACAGTACTGTACATAGTGATGTTGATGGTGAGAATGATGATGATATGAGGATGTGATGGTGATGACGATAACGATGAGGAGGGTGCTGGCAATGTTAATGATGATAATAATGAGGATGTGATGGTGATGACAATAATGATGAGAATGGTGCTGGTGCTGGCAGTGTTAATGATGATAATAATGAGGATGTGATGGTGATGACAATAATGATGATGATGGTGCTGGCAATGTTAATGATGATAATAATGAGGATGTGATGGTGATGACAATAATGATGAGGATGGTGCTGGCAATGTTAATGATGATAATAATGAGGATGTGATGGTGATGACAATAATGATAAGGATGGTGTTGGCAATGTTAATGATGATAATAATGAGGATGTGATGGTGATGAAGATAATGATGAGAATGGTGTTGGCAATGTTAATGATGATAATAATGAGGATGTGATGGTGATGACAATAATTATGAGGATGGTGCTGGCAATGTTAATGATGATAATAATGAGGATGTGGTGGTGATGATGATAATAATGAGGATGGTGCTGGCGATAAATGAGGATGTGGTGGTGATGACGATAATAATGAGGATGGTGCTGGCAATAAATGAGGACGTGATGGTGATGACAATAATAATGAGGATGGTGCTGGCGATAAATGAGGATGTGATGGTGATGACAATAATGATGAGGATGGTGCTGGTGATAAATGAGGACGTGATGGTGATGACAATAATAATGAGGATGGTACTGGCGATAAATGAGAATGTGATGGTGATGACAATAATGATGAGGATGGTGCTGGCGATGTTAATGATGATAATAATGAGGATGTGATGGTGATGACAATAATAATGAGGATGGTGCTGGCGATAAATGAGGACGTGATGATGATGACAATAATAATGAGGATGGTGCTGGCGATAAATGAGGATGTGATGGCGATGACAATAATGATGAGGATGGTGCTGGCGATAAATGAGGATGTGATGGTGATGACAATAATAATGAGGATGGTGCTGGCGATAAATGAGGATGTGATGGTGATGACAATAATGATGAGGATGGTGCTGGCGATGTTAATGATGATAATAATGAGGATGTGATGGTGATGACAATAATAATGAGGATGGTGCTGGCGATAAACGAGGATGTGATGGTGATGACAATAATGATGAGGATGGTGCTGGCAATGTTAATGATGATAATAATGAGGATGTGATGGTGATGACGATAATGATGAGGATGGCGCTGGCGATGTTAATGATAATAATGAGGATGTGATGGTGATGACGATAATGATGAGGATGGTGCTGGCGATGCTAATGATGATAATAATGATGTGATGGTGGTGATCATAATAATGAGGATGGTGGTGGCATTGATGATGGTGATAATGAGGATGGTGATAGCGATGATGATAATGATGAGGATGGTGATGGCAATAATGATGAGGATGGTGATGGCGATGATAATGATGAGGATAGTGATGGCGATGATCATAATGATGATGGAAGGTGCACCGCTGCAATTTTTTTAGTATTCTTATTATAATATTGTTGTTGATTTAGAACAGGAGTTGTACAATATACTGTATACAGTAATTAATTTAGGCCTTTTCTTACGGGCCGGATAATATGCACTTGTGTATTGGCATTAGTAGACCTACTTTAGTTTTCATAATAACCCTATGACTATGTGAGTCCGATTGCAACAACACCTTCAGCAGTGCATGCTTTATAGTTCATATGTAAATCTATCAATAACAAAGCATTATTATCATGGGCATACGTCATCCTATAATCCGGACTCTGTGGACCCTTTGAGTTCTAAAGTGCTTGTTATTCAACTGTTACTTACAATTCTCCTTAGAGAGATCAGTTACTTTTTTCAGTTAAAACTCAAGATCTTCAGCCAAGGAAGTGTATGTGATTCAGAGATTGAACGGAAATTCATTCCTTTTTGCTTTTATCCATTAAATGTTTTCTGTAAATAAAGTAAAATTGTAAAATACAAGCCTTAAAGAAGGTTGTTTTACATCAAAACAAAGGATTTATCTACGATCTTAATAGGGCATGTAAATATAATTTTACCTTAAAGACCTTAAAAAAATAAAAATATAATTTGTACAATGCATACATGTAACATGTAATGCATAAGCAGTCTTTGTGAACAATCAGTTGTGTTGCTTAAAGAGCAGAATGCTCAGTAATTGACCTTCAAAATATGATGTAATTTAATTTGTTCTGTAAGTATGCTTTTCCTCATTAGCATAATATAAACAAAATATTTATCCAGTAATAACAATTAATCGACTATAACCAAATTATATCAAACTGATTCTGTAAATAATATACCATTAAAGGCTGATTTCCATAAAATCGCTACATGCTATCGCTGACAGCTTTCAGGGATGCTGATTAGTCAGAAATCAGGGAGTCTTTCTTAAACAAGCTTTACAGTCTAATAAAACTGTGTACAAAAAAGACAATGATGGAGTCTATGTCGAGAGTCCCAGAATAACACTATTCAATGATTGTATGTTTGCAGGGGAGCTGACCTTCTTGCCATTAACTCCGATGGGAATATGCCCTATGACATCTGTGAGGATGATACTACTCTGGATTATATAGAAGGCCAAATGGCTAAAAGAGGTAGGTTTATATACTATATCTATATTTATCTTTGCTAGTAATGTTATTCCACTTCAGGAAGAAGGACTTTTAATTAAATCTTCACTCTTCCTACTCTACTCACTTTCATAGTTTCTTTACATCATCCATCTTTACTTTTTCATGTAAACACAAGGTGGAATTGATTAGTGCTGCATCATGAAAAGTATTATTATTCCAAAAGGCAGAATAAATAAATTCTTTCAAGGTATTTTCAAAGGCAGTTAAATCCACTCTTGGGTTATCTGGAAAAAATCACTGTTAAATTTATCTTAATTTCCTTGATGGTGGCAGCAGTAATGCTCTGGTGACTGAGGTAGTGCCTGGAGGAAATGTAAGTCTCTCCTTTTAGGTGTAGAAAAAAGGCTGATATCATAATTAAACACTGCAATATAATTTTGGGACTTTTAGAATGATTAATAGCTTATGATGTTTTGATTAAAGACAGTGCATCTGTTCACATGTGGATTGACCATGCGTAACTTCCTCCTTTTAGGCGTAAAAAAAAAGCTGATATAATTGATAAACACATATAACAGATATGTGATAATTTTGGGACTTTTAGAATGATTTAGCTTATTCATGTTGTGATTAAAGACAGTGCATCTGTTCACGTATGTGGATTGACCACGCAATTAAAAGCTCTAAAATCCTAATAATCTGAGGTAATCCAAGTTGGTTTCAATTGTATTCATTTCTGTAGGAAAAATAACATGAGAATTATGTAGGGCTTCTCTGCCAATGACATTCACACAAGGAGTGTTGTTGCATAATGGGATTTAAGTCTAGTTTCTTTTAATGTGGTCACTATTAGAAGCTTGTAGTGAGTGATTATAAGGTATTGGTTTTAATAATTATATACATAAGGTTTGTATAGTGAAATTCACTGTGGGTACTATTGTATGTGGTTTGCATGAACTTGAAAATGTTCATATATGCTTGAAAATATACAAGATTCTATGAACAATGCAACACGAGGACGCCCACTCAATGGATCTTTTTTAATGACTATCCGTTCAGACGACAGGCAATCAACAGAGAGCGTCACATTATCTAGCACTCACAGAGAGGGCAGTTTCGCTGTGCAACCGTCGTACGACGCAGTGTGCACCCAGCTTTAAACTCGCAACGATCGCCAGAACGGCGTCGTCGCAAGTTTCGCCTGCAGCTTCGACAACAGGAAGCTTGTATCTCACAGTATGATTTTAATAGTGTGGATAACTTATTGTACTAGCCTTTACATGAAAAGGTTTTATGCTTTTCTAGGAATTGTTCAATATGTAGGGTATAATGATATGCACCTTGAGGTTAGCAGGATCTGGAATTTAGGATTACCTGTAAGGTACCTTTAACCACAATAATTTACATCTTGAAAAAAACATTGCTTACTATTTAGTAACTTCCTTTTTCATTGACCTCAAAAATAGTGCCATCTACTATGTTCTTATTTATTTTGCCTTGCAAGGCATTTACTGCCAGAAGTGCATTCTAGTATATGAACATTTATAAAGTGTAAAGTAATGGCTACTTGATAGATAAGAAAACTGCTTGAATTTTGAACTCTTGTTCAATTTAGTGATTTAGTTCTGCCAAAGTTGAACTAATGCCTTCATAAAGGTAGATTCACATTGAATTTGAATTCGGTTCGTAGAACGTTTTCGATGCACGTTTTAGTACGTGCCTCTATTCTTTACGACAGATTTGATTTTCTTTTTTTCGTTTTGTTACTCCATACGAACCAAATTTGTATTCGGTGTGAATATGCCTCTACTCTTCTAAAATTTTTGATATCTTTGGGGATATTTGGATTGATATGTAACACTGAGAGGGTGAGAATGCTTTTGGGCCCATACAACTAGGGTGAAAAGTAGTAAAATGATGATGATATTTGTTTATGGACTTAGCAGCTTTAGTGCCAAGAGGTGGTGGGGAAGCTGGGGCAAGTGCGTATAGAAGCCCTGTTCAATATCGTGAAAAGACAAAAGTAGCGATAAAAAATGCCATAAGGCAAAAAAAAAAAATTGCTTGTTTGCCCTCCTCCACCCGCTCCTAACTCACTGAAAAAAATAGGGGCGGAAAAACAAAAAACTTTAAAAAAGGGGTTTTTTTTAGCTTTTTCCTTTACAAATAAAAAAAATGTGAGTGAATTTACCTTCATTTTTTGCCAGATGCCCTATAAATTAGTCTAAAGTAGTTGTTTGATGTAATATTGCCATTCTAGGCCTTTGTGGGTTATTTTTATTCCATCTTAGGCCCAATAAAAAAAAATTATTAGTTTATCACCCTCGTGCGCATGCCTTTTATGGTACTGAAAAAAAAAAAAAAATTTTTGAAAAATCTTTTTTTTGAAAAAAAAATATTTTTTTGGAACATTTTTTAATTTTTTTAATTTTATTTATTTATTTTTTTAAATTTATTTTATAAAATAGTTAGTAGATATTGTTTGCATTATCTAAATCATGTTTTACTTTGAATATCAATGCTCCAGCAAACAAACCGGGGGTTATATTTGGCTTTAGCAAAAAAAAAAATTTAAAAAAAAAGCCTCCCTCCCTCATCACTTTTCCTGCCCAGATAGGGTGATAAACTAATAATATTTTTTATAGGGCCTAATGAGTATTTACAATTATTTTTAAAAGAAGTGCAAACAAACAATTTATTTTATTTGATAATTTTTGCCTGGAAGCTACATCGCACCAGCCAAGGCTGCTCCTGCCAGCCCTGGTTAGCAGCCTACATGCTATATCATTATATTACTTAAATTTATGTTTCAATGCATAACAACATTGATCCAAGGCATTGAGTTAACACGTTCTTGACAAGTTGTCAACATGAATAATATATGATGGATAGTTTCAGACTATTTGTATTGATGGTTCACTTTAATATAACCTATCGCAATATCAAGATTAAAATCTTGTCGCATTCATCCATTTTCTTGTCATTTTTATACATAATTCAAGCCATCAAGATTACCTTGATGTGTATTAGATGAGTTTGAATGCCAAAATGGAAGTATTTTTTTATTTGACATGATAGTAATTTCAGTATAAACGTACCCATTAAACATTAGGTTTGGTTGAGGTGTTGCCTTATTATATCCAGGAAAATACAAAAAACATTCAACATGCTAGATGCATAGACAAAATGTTTAATGTTAAGCCCTGTCTAGACTATGTTATATTTGACAAAAGCATGTGACATGCCTAAATATGGTCATGATGACATCACATCATGACCATATATAGGCACATTATGACCATATATAAGCACATCATGACTATATATGGGCATAAAACAGTTTTTTGTAAACAAAAATTGATAGTGTGGACAGACCTTAAAGGCCTGTTTATACATTAGAGATAAGAAAAGTTTTTACACTAGGACGATTTGAAACGATTTAACGTGTATACAATAACAAAATATTTTAACAAATCAAATTAGATTACATCATAATCATGGAAAAACAATAAAATCGTTGCTACTACTGTACTATGATTTTAATGTGTTTCCATGATTATGACATCATCTGATTTGATTTGTCAAAATATGTTGTTATTGCATTACTGATAAATCATTATCGAATCGTTCTGGTGTAAAAACTTCTCTTATTTCTTTTATTGAGCAATTGCTTTTTAGCTTTTTTCATCGTTATCGTTATCGTTGAAGTGTAAACAGTGTTGATATCTGACACAGAAGGAAGATAGCATTTTATATACTGTAGTTCTTGGGTTTATTTACGAATTTCATTCCAACATCTGACTGAAAGTAGGAAGTTGACTTATTATACACAAGTGGAACATTTTACATAAAAAACTACTGAGAAGTTAGGGTGGGTTTATACATGAGTGAACCTGTAGCTTGGAAACTACAGTATTTGTACTGGTACTGGTACAGGCATTTATAATGCACCTTTTCCTTGTAGTTTAAAGCGTAATTACTAACCTCTGACAGTGAAAGTAGAAAGTGGGAGTGGAACATTTTGCATAAAAACTACTCAGAAGTTATGGTTGGGATCATGAGGTGTCTCTGTAGCTTGGAAACTATGATATTTATATAAAGGAAAGTTACAATGAGAAAGTGATTGCATAGGAGATGAAGTTTTGTTGATGATAATCTTTGTAAGATGCAATGGCTCCAAGAATGGCAAAATGAAAGCATGAAAATGAATCAACTTTCGTTTATTGAATCACTTTGGCTTGCATCGCTTTCTTTGGAATGCATTCTACAGTATGTGTGTAGGCACTCCATGCTATCTTCATAATGTGATGTAAATTTCCATCCCTGTCAAATCTTAATTAATCTCAAATTGTTTTCCAAATGGAATTTCACACATAGATTTATTATATTGATCTATCCTTGAATAAAGTACTTCATCTACAGTTATAGTCAGGGCTGGAAAAAGTGCATGACCGGATGACCTGCGGTCTTAATTTTATGGAGGCGTTTTGGGGAATAAAAAATCCAAAAAATAAACTGTAGTGCTATTAGTGTGCAGACAACATTGTTGCTGGAGCCATTTCATCGAAACAACTTTCATGGTCAGAGGCACGAACACTTTTTTTTCCAGGCCTGGATAATATAGTAAAGTACAGTATAAATACAGTACATGTAAGCGGGGATAGATACAAATCTACATGACTTGTCATTAATTCTACAACATACAGGTCCAGAATCAATGCTTATCATTGCATCCCTTATTAAAAAATATTTTAAAAATTAGGAAAATTTTGGGCCCATCCACTTTCTTCTAACACCAAATGATCATTTCTTGTAAATAGCTTACCTGATGATATCTATGCTGAATGTTTTCTAATAAGCTAGTGACTTCCAAGAACCTAATAGGTATGTGTAGCCATACAGTAGTCATTTCTAGAAGAATGGTAGTCTGTACATAGGCCTACTGATAATAACTTGATTAAGATCTGGCTTAGATTTCCTTATCTAGGAGAGGCAGGTGAATCCATTTTACGTAGATGCTTAAACAAAGTAAAGAAACACTTGGTTAAAGAGGTAAAATTCATAACATTATGGCAGTACAAAAATGTCTCTCATTTTATATCTACTAAAGATCAAACCCCTAGGGAATATAGGGGCATTGTTGTTTATCATTTTAAATGTCCAGGTTGTAACAGTGATTATATTGGCAAGACAGATAGATGCTTAATAACTAGACTGAGTGTAATAAATGATCATATACAAAGTTGTGAGACATTCCAATATGTTTTAGGTTTACAAGGTATACTTGAAAATGATAATGTAGCCTGTAATGCAAGTAATAAATTAGGTTTAATATTTTCTAATACTAACATTTTTGAGAGTTCGCAAAATTGGTCTATACTATTGTTCAGGGATGTCACCACGCTGGTTGGCGGTGGACGGGTCTGTCCAGCACTCAACATTTCCGACCTGGATTTACAGGCTCCCGACCACCACTATTATTTCAACAGTTTACAAATTGTAACAAAATAATTAGTTTACCTAAACACAATAGACAAGCTAAATTGATAGATAAAGACAAGAAGAATACAATAAATGTTTCCGTGGTTACGTTAATTGTAACAAAATACTGCACTGCCCTGCTATTCATTGCTAACTTAACAGCCTAGGCCCAGTTGAGTCATAGCGAACGTCGTGGGCCGGCATTACACATTCAAAGGTTAAAGTTGAAATCGTGACCATTCAAGTGTTTTATTATGAGAGCATGGTCCGGGGCAGGAAGATTATTAAAAATTTACGAAACATTTTTGACAGTTCGCAAAATTAGTCTATACTATTGTTGTTTAAAGAAGCATTTGCTATACATTGGCTACACCCATTGCTTAACAATGGGCTGAAAGTTTCAAAGGAGCTTTCTTTGTTTTTGTGGGTAGCTTTGATCAGTAGGGTAAGAATACTTTGATCTTTAATTTATTCATGACTATGTCACCTACTGGGTGTAATGTTTTGATTGGTCAAACACTTTTGGTACTTGTGCATATAAGCTTGCAAATATGGATAATTTTTCATTCCTGATGATGACATAATTAATGTTGAAATATTGAATCCCGACACGATGGCGTGCATTTTGATACTTGGAATATGTATTATACTATCTTATCTGAGATTAATCAGTGGACCTTTCGGTATTATACTATCTTATTTGGTAGTCAGTTTCTGTCTCGGTTACCATCTGAAACACTTTTTTTATCATCAATTTAATTATATTTTAATATTTTTTTAAATTTTATTTTTTTATTCATTAACATAATAAAACATAATAATAAAACAAAGACGACAAGAAACATATTCAAAGGATAAAAAACAAAAAATATACCAAAATTGGCAACTTATTTCCATTGTGGTCCTATCCTTACTGCAAAAAACGTAAAAAACAATCTGAGACAGCAAAAACATGACTTGAATTCAATTCAAATAACAGATTTGAATTGAAAATTGACTCTATTGACTAGCTGTCACCCCAAGAGATGTTTCAATAAAGATTTTCTATCATTTTTATTTTGATAAGGAATTTCACAAGAACAAATTGATGATTTACGTGATGTAGTTCCGCGGCAGATGTTGACCGATGTTAAACAGCACTATGATAATGGTTTTGATCTGGATGCTGCAGACAACACGGGCACAACATTGGTGAGTTTACTTCCTTAATTAATGACCTCTCTCAGTAGTGAACCTAAAGTGAGTATGTCTTTCCTTCTCCCCTGTTTTAATTTAATATTGGTTTATTTCAACATATTTTGCTGTTTTTTTTCTGTTTATTTATATATGGACAAATTATTGATTCCGAAATAAAAGAATGAATGAATTTTGTACTTCAAGAAAATTATTATAAAAATTGTGCAGGTCTTCACATTTTCAGTCAAAAATTGTTTATTTCCACAATTTCAATAACAATAACATAAAATAAATACTGAACAATATCAAGTAAAAGTATTAAATATACATTGAATGAAAATTACACTTCTTTGTATAGTTGGCTCGATGTTACCATCAGTAAGTATAAGGATGAAAAATGACCAAAATATTTATTTAATTTATAAGTGCTAAAACATGAGCATGGCCCAGCAGTTGAGTTGGTCAGGTGGGGCTTCGAACTCCCACCCACAAGGTTCAAACCCAGAATGGAAATCTCTACTCCAATATTAAAAACTAAGAGAGAACAGAGAATTTATTTAGTATAGAGAAGGATGAATGTATTTTTTGTATTAATGTTGAATTTGCAACAATTGAACTTTGTAAAGAATTACAAAACTGACTTCACTATGTGAATTAATTGAAAATGAGGTTAATATGTATTGAAATTACACATTTCCTTTATGCATGCTACAGACATATGGTAATTAATTAAAGCTATATTTGAAATTCATCAGTATTTATCTAGTAATAATCACTAGGATTCCATAATGCAAATATAACATTTGGTGAATTTGAAGATGGCAGGAGTGGAAGCTGCTAGCCTGCCAAAGGCAGCAGTAGATTGATTGACTTGATTATTTATGTAAAAGGTTATAATATTCAGGAGTCTCTAGAAGCTCATTTTCTTTTGATATCATTAAGAAGAAATTTTAGAACTTTTTAGTATAGCAATTTAATAAATATGCATTATATCTATTAAGGCAATGAATATAATTTATTCCTATTGTTAATGTTGTATGTTGGAAAAATAGTGGAACTTAAGTTGGTAAAGTTTGTGTATTATAGTTGCATGACTTTAATAAATATCAAAATATACCTTTGATTAACAAACTATTATTAATAATAATAAATATGATTTGTATGACACTCATACCCATTTTAAAGAAAGGCTGAAGGTGCTTGAGAATATAAACAGTGGGAAAAAAAAATTGGAAAAATAAGCCAGTAAATATTTTTACAAACTAACCAGAAGCACTTATAAGTTGACACTTTTACAAGTTGACACAATAGTTAATATCATCATATTATTTTATTTATTTCATATCCACATAAACATTCACAATTACAGTACAGAGATTGTTATTCAAAAATGTTATACTGATGTCAAGAAATTATCACCAAAGATGAAATTTGGATGAACTGTCAACACAGTAAAAAAAAGAAAGAAAGAAAATACCATGCATTATTCTCCGCATGCATAATGGTATGATTTTAGTGAAATATTGATAATTGTGAATAACTATATATTAATTCAATTAAGTAAAAAAAAGGTCAAGAAATCCCTCAAAAATAAAAATTATAATTTGAATTTCTTATTAATAATAAAACCACACAATTTATTAACTTTCAAAAACTCAGACTTAAAATAATTCAACATGTTTTACCTCTGTGGCATGCTATGAGTTTTATTATGGAGGTACATGGGTAAAGTGCCCTGCCTAGTGGTACTAGCAAAAGGGAGTTCGATCTCATCTTAAATCCGGTTTTCCACTAGGCGAATTTATTCGCGCAAATGGAAAGCGTTGGTTCGCTTCCTGAGCTCTGATTGGTTGCACATTTTTTTCGCTTCGCAAAAAGTAGAAACAGTTTGAACTACCGATTTCTCTAAAGCGAAAACTCGGATAGAAACGTGAATGTGCGTGTGCATGGACCGACGTTTTCGATTCGCGCAAATAATTTCGCCTAGTGGAAAACCGGCTATACGTTGAGAGGTATGCCAACTACTGTTCAACGAATTGTTATCTCGTGTACCTTGTTAAATGATTATGTATTGTAGAATAAGCTTGGTATATGCTGTACCATACCGCCCATTCGGCAGTTAATCAGGCTTTATTTCTTGGGGGAATGCTTATATCATCACTTTCACAGCCTATCCTATTGTATTAGAACCTGTGGTTTATTACTAAGCCTTAAGTCTTATTACTATTATTGTAGTGTACAAATATTTTCATCAATCACCAAGTGTCAAGAACACTGTTCATTGTGAAGATATTATGTGCAACCCTGTAATGTTCAGATGATTAAATTAGCTGTCTTTCATGCCTTTGGTCACCTTTCATACTATTAAGTACCTGTTCTATTTGCGCAGGTATAATAAGGAAAGCACTGTCTTCCAAATTCTGCTCTCCTTGTCCACTCATCACCACCTTATCTGATTTTTAATCATCCTAATTGGCCCACTTTTGTCTATCAATAAGTTGGTTTTTTTTACAAGTTATAATAGAAAAATCAGTGTTGTACATGAATCAGTCAGATACAGTAGTGTCTCCAGAAATTTACAGATCGGGGTAAGGGGATTCCACACAGTTCAAAAAGTGGGTTTTAAATTTGCATATGCCTAGGGCCCCCAGTGAGGGCCTCCATTACTATGGTAGTGGTAAGGGAAGGTATTTTATGGATGTAAAAAATATGCTTTTAGACCTTTAGTGTTAAAATTGCTAATGCAGTAACTGAATCGATAAATTAATATTTTTAGTCTAATAACCTGCCGACAAGGGGTCTATGCTTGTCTTACATGGGGAAATTTCTAAGAATAATCCAGATAACTTATTCACTAATGGAGAAAAAATAAAAACGCCTTCAAGATTTTAATCATTTCGCACCTGTCAAAGTACGGGGATTTTACCTTGATTCTATAAGCCAAGATAAACGGCAAAGTGTTGGCAGTAAGTGCTTTAAGGGGGGTGTTGCCATTTGAAGGGAATTGACAAACCTCCTTATCTTGAGCATACCGGGTGCATTAGCTATGCTCAAGAATTGCTGTAACGTTTCATATTATACGTCAGAGATGCTGTCCCTGTGAAAATGATACTGACAAATTACATGTATGAAAATTGGGTCGCAGATCACTGAGGATGATGCAAAAAATGCTGTCTTGAGGAAAGAGAGAAGGTGTAAGTTGCAGAAAATAACTCATTTTAAGATTTATTGGAAGATGCATAAAGCAAGGATTACTTGTCTTAAGTAGGTTAGAGTAATGATAGATGAGAGACATGAAGAAAGGAGATGGAAGAAATACGTCTTCACAATATGCTTAATATTTATGCACCATTGATAATATTGAAAAATAGGCTGCCAGCGGGAGTGTGTGTGTGTATGTACTATCTGCCTTACTGTATTATGTAATAAGGTACTTAAGATGACACATGACCCTTTCTACTGTCTTTAACTGCCAGATCATAACATAGTGTCTTTGCCCCGAGTGGGCATAGACACAAGAACATGAACATCAATGTTGTTTGGTTTCATCGTCTATTTTTCTTGTTTCTTCATCGTCGTTATCATCGTCATTTTCATTTTCATCATTACCATCTATGTAATAATTTGATCACCATCTTCATTGTTATTATCACTATTATTACTTACATCATCATTATGCCCCTCATCGCATCATCATCATCATCATCTCATGATCATATCATGATTTTCATTGTCATCATCATTATCTTCATTGCCATCATTATTTCATCATCGGCATCATTCATTATCATCATCATTATCTCATCTTCTTCATTATCATCATCATCATCAACATCAACTATATTGTAGTGCTCAGTTGTTGCACCAGCCATTACTAGTAAGGTATGTTGAAAAGAAAAAACGATTACTGTTCTTAAAGGTATTCTTGTTGTATTGTACATTCTTGTAACATGGATGGTATACAATTTTGTAAGAAGGAATGTGGGGAGGAAGGGGAAACATAAATGAAAGTGACATTTGATATTTACAAAAATTGTAATTTACAAACCTACTCTAGGATTGGAGTTGATCGTATTCCCAAGGCTATCTCCCCTGATTCCTCTAGATTCCGTTAAGGAGCTTGCGTAGGATGTATAACTATTAGAATATTAATAGATTTCTCTGCCATCTTTGCATGTATTTATCTGATGTTTTTTTAACATTATCTAAATTCTAGCGTATCTAAAATGTTCTGGTGTTATTTCTAAATATTATGTTTTGCTAAACTATCTGTAGTGATGTTGAAGAATATACATTTATCTCAGATTTAATGTAAACAAATAAGCACCAATGCAAATAGCTCATTCATTATAAAGAAAATTAATATAAAAAACTGAACTATGTAAGTCCACCCTTAAAAAAGAATATTTTCCAACTCTACACTCTCTCCTCACCCCCAGGCATCCCAACTTGAAGTTTTCTTAGCCGCAGATTTACACATAGTCTAGTAGTTGAAAATCATTTCCAATCGCCGCCTTATGCCAGTTAAGGTCCCTGACATAGACTTCAAGCCTCTTGCACCCCCTTTGTCCATGTCATTATCTGAAATATGCCACTGACCAACTGTACAATAATAAAACTTGCTTGTTCCAGTGTTAGTAGTATTCAGTCCATGCGAAATTTGTTGTTCATTTTCCTGACGATGCGGAATATTAAAGCTCGCTTGGTACTACTGTATGATTAATATAGGCTGGATAATGTGCTGCTACAGAAAATTCAAAATTGAATACAAGCAAATGGAGGTTGAATTTGAGAATGACGTTTAAAAAAAAAAAATTCATAGCACTTTCTCAACGGCACAGCACTTACTCGAGAAAGGTGCTTATTCAATTATTTTCATGGTATACTTGAGACGTATCATTCACTTTCGTATACTCCATCACCATTGGAAACCATGAGATTCCCAATCAGTATAATGAATTTGTATATTAATACCTTTCAAAACAGTCAATAAGGTTGAAGCCAACGTAATAGAATATCTGATATCATTCACTAGAATTTTTAATCGTCCGCATCACACTAATATTCAAGCAATAAATGCTATTAAAAATTCTCTATCAGATTAAGTCTACTAAATCATTCTTTTATGTCACTGCTTTATGTGTGACCTTGTTTTTTTTTTTTTCCAATCTATGATCTTTGATTAAAGGTACAAGATAACATCATCTTTAATTTGGAATTTTCATTCATCCTATGTTTGTTCTAAAAGTGCAAACATCCTGAGAGTTCTTCATCCTTGATTGGTTATGATGTTGTGCATTAAATATTTGCCATTACGCACACTTGGTGACCATTAAAATTTACTAAAGCTCACGAAAGAGCCACTTAAAAGCGCTCAACTTTCAAATTCAACATTCATGTTTAGAATATTCAGCTGTAGGCATTTCCTACTGTTCCGTTTATTTGATTAAATTTTCTATTAACCTTTCTAGGACTCTCCATTCTTTTCTATTTACCCTATTTTGTCATCAGTAATAAAAATGAAAACTAATTGATAATCTCAATAATTAAAGTAGTCAAATAGAATAACTTGGAGTTTAGATCTTTCCTTATTTCTTACTTTTACTTTTTGCCATAGCAAATTTTCTTCTGTGCTATTTATTTGACATATTATTTTTTTATGCCATTTTCATTGATGATGGTGTTGACCATATATTACATTCCTTTATAATAGAAGGTGTTTGTTGTTGGAACTAGGGGTCAGAGAGGAACATATATTGTTAAATGTTAATATTATTAAGCATAAGTCTCTAGAAATGGACTTAAAACTAAAACAAGGAAATTGGAATGGGAAAAAAAACTGTTTTAGAATTCAATTTAAGAGCATTTGACCTGTTTTGCTTGATAGAATTTTCCTCACTAAACAACTTGAATAAATAATTAAATTTTAATTGTTCTTCTTTTTCTCTGTGTGTTTTTAGCTTCACATAGCAGCTGCCAACGGTTATCTGGATGTAGCTGAATGGCTGTTGGAGCATCATGCCGACGTTAACGCTTTAGATTCTGACGGTTGGCAGCCGATCCACGCCGCTGCGTGCTGGGCACAGGTATGCTACACCTCTTGCTTTCCAATCTTCAGCTCTGTCCAGACTATCAAATTTTATGTGACATGCCTAAATATGGTCATGATGACATCACACCATGACCATATATAGGCACATCATGACTATATATGGGCATATAACAGTTTTTGTCTAAGAAAATTTGACAATCTAGACAGAGCTTTATGATTCATTATATTTTTATGAAGCTGAATAGCTAGGATTCAAGGTTGAGTGCCAGTTGGGACAACTCTTTCCTATTGGGCAATACACCGGGAGACAATTCCCTACTCTTTTCTGAAGAGTATTGTATTCTTTTAATAACGTGCACTTGGGCCATAATAATGCACACAGGACCAACAGCTTAAATGTTCCATCAGAAAGACGGTGCACTATCATAACTTGCATTTCAGCCCTGCAGCTGAAATAAAGGAGAGTAGCGATGGAAATTGAACCGGGGACAAATAGATTTCCACAGTTCAGCGCACACACAGTGGCTACCAATAGTTTAGCCGACTGAGCTAAGCTGCTCTCTATGCTATAAAGTATGGAGATCTTTGTGTTTTTTGTTCTGTTATAGTGCACTGTCTTTTGAAAGAGATGTTTTGACCACTGGTCTGATGTACGCCATGGCCCACACGTACTGTCACAGTTGCAATAGTGCTGCACTGTGTAGGTGCTTGCATGGCTACCTGCCAGGGACAAAGCTCAAATGTCTCAGTTACATGGACGTCATAGGATCAATGAATTACTTCACTTTACAATCAATAAAATCTATAGTTTTTGATGAATTCAGTATCGCTTTTCTTCATGAATGTTTTGACTTGGAATGAGCTTTCAATGAATTCAAAATCATCGCTTTATATTTGCTCATGTTAATTAATTCGCAAATTTTTTCTTCGTGCGAGTCTTTGAAAAGGTCAGTGTTACTGTATTTCAATATGTTTTCAACGTTCTTTGATATTCTTAGAATATCCAAATTTAGCCTTCTAGCCATTCATGGAATTAGAGTAGAAATCTTAATTAGAAATATAGCAAAGGAGAAGGGGTGAACCATATATTAAATGTAGTAAATCCAAGGTTAGAAAAAGCATTACAAAGCACATTATTTGTTATTGCATTAAGAAGTTTGTAAGCTTAACTGCAATACAGTTTTCTTCTCTTTCTCATCTCATTGATGATCTAGTTAACCTATCAAGCTTTTGAGTTATGGTACTTCTTTGGTTGTTCATGTACTTTCCACTACGTATTTGAGCCTGCCCCCCTCTCCCCCTCTTCTAATAATCTAATAATTAAAACATCAATCCACTTTATATTAATTGCTCAATGTTTTTTTCAATTATTGATGTGTTGATGCAGTAGACATATGACGAGGAATGTGACATATTTGTGTGATGTGCCATATATGGGCATGATGATGTCATATTACACCCAAATATGGGCATATCACTTTTTTTTGTCACATAAAATTTGATAGTTTGGATAGAGCCTTATAGTATACCTTGTATTTTCTTGTAGAGCGATATGTTAACACTTCTCGTGAAGTATGGAGCTGACTTGGAGTCAAAAACAAAAAATGATGAAACTCCAGATGGCAAGTATTATTTCTCATTTACTTTTTTTTTTGTAATGAAGGGAAAGCAAAAATGATGGGGTAGGTACATGGTTGGGTTGGTATTGCTTAGTCTTGCACCATGTGAATTATAATGCTAGTTTTACATTAGGTGAATTTGTTCGCACGAACCAAAAGCGTCAGTTAATACACATTTGCCTTGACATTCCTATCAGAGTTTTTCGCTTCAGCGAAATCGGTAGTTCGAACTGTTTCTACTCTTTGCAAAACGAAAAAAATTTGACACTTTTGATTCGTGCGAATAAAATGAACATGACCTAAATAATTATAATAATCATAATAGTAATAGTAAGTGTTTTCTCAAGCAGTGAAATGCCATTGAATATATTAAACTCCTTTATTCAAACCATAGAATCCAAATTGCAGGAAAAAAAATTACATTAAAACAAACAAAATATATTTTGATATTAATTGTAATATATTTCGATATTAATTGTAATCATTTATACAGTATATAACATAATTTGTAATGTTTTAAGAATGTATTTCAAGGTTTATGTGAACACTTTATATAACTCAATTTACAATTAAATCAAAATTAATGAATTATTAATTGCATGTATATTGAACAGATATCTGTGAAGACGAAGACATCCGAGTCATCTTGACCCAATTAAAGATGGAGCAAGTAGAAGAAAAAGCAAAACGTAGTAATTTAGTACGGCGATCATCAAGTAAAAACAGGAGAAGGTATGCATTATAAAAATGAACATGAAAGGGATTTTAGAATTCATTGATATTTTTTTTATTTTTAAAGGTATAAATCAAATACAAAAACATTACCGTAAAACATGGTAATAAAATATTTTATCAAAAGACAACTTTATAATATATATCGACAAGCCGGAAGAAAGCTGCCATTACGATTCCCTATATATATGGACGTCAACTAGGGCAGGTATTACTAGTACTGTAGTATAGTAAGCACTTGATTTAGACTAGGGCCTACTGTAGGTTAGGTAGAGCCTAGAGGCTGGGCCTTCTCTATATCTAGAACATTCATGTACTACTTAAACTGTACCTAGGTTTATACCATTCTATCCCCAGTCGTCTTAAATGTGAGTGGTGTGTGGCCACATCATGACTATATATGGGCACATAGTGACTATATATGGCCACATCGTGACTATATATGGCCACATCGTGACTAAATGTGGGCACTGCTGCAATTAAGCAATGCAGAAGTTACTGCCCAATTATGGGCTCATTGCCAAACAATCTGACAGCTTGGCTTCTTGCAAACATATTTTCCACTTCGATTATTATATCATCACAGTCCATATTTGCCACATCGTGACTATATATGGCAACATCGTGACTATATATGGCCACATCGTGACTATATATGGCAACATCGTGACTATATATGGCCACATTGTGAATATATGTGGGCACTGCTGCAATTAAGCAATGCAGAAGTTACTGCCCAATTATGGGCTCATTGCCAAACAATCTGACAGCTTGGTTTCTTGCAAACATATTTTCCACTTCGATTATTATATCATCACTGTCTATATTTGCCTTGTTAATATCTCATTGTGTACGCCGGAGAAAAAAAATGTTGCGAGAATCTAATACTAGAGTAGAATGCAGTGTGTGGACCTCGCGATTGTATTTGTTCGCTGAAGACACGCATCACACACACACTGTGGAAGGCTGTCAAGATTAACAAATGTTGCCATGTTAGAGTTAATATTTATCAGAAAATTTCTGATATTTTAAAGTTTTTAAATCGTTTTATACTAAATTTATGATCGCTTGTACGCTTACATTTTTATTGCAAAAAAATCATTATACATTATTATCATAGTGTATAAAATTTAAAAGGAATACTTTATATTTTAAAAAGTTATCTACAGAATACATCACAGGACAGTGGAGAGAGAAGGTAATGTATTTGTAAATGACGTCATTCACGAATTTTATTGATTTTGACTGTCAACTACCCCTTGGGTGAACCCAATATATTTTACCCTTCTAATACAGACCAAATTAGTGTAAAAATGTTATTTTCAAATGAAAAAAAAATCAAAAATGCATTTCATGTCCATTTTCAGTAGAGATTGCCAGGTGAAGTTGGTGTATGTATCTGAAATGTAAAAGCTGTCTGAGTATCATCATTATCATCATCATCAATTAATAGTAACATCAAAACAAACCATAGGTCTAGCGCATAGAGGATTTATGCATTATGTGCTCTATTAATTCATACTTATTGTCATCATCATTTTGAGCAATGGCATTTATGGTCATTATTATCATAAATCGTCACCATCACAGGCATCATCATTGTTTCTTTTCCCACATGAAGGCCAATATCCGCTGCCGTAGTGTGTGCAATAAAGAATGTAGTTTAAAATGTCTTAAGCCTGGTTCTCACGAGAGCCCTAGTATCCGGATCCGGAGCTAACCGTTAGCGCCAACCGTTAGCGGTATCCGGATACGCTAACGGTTAGCAGGCATTATCGGTTAGCAAGTTGAGGGCGTTTCTATCATCAACCAATCACACGTACGCGTTTACAATTTCCAGTTTCTTATCGGCCAGTGATTCGATCATCATATTGTTGGTATCCGGATCGGGATTTTCTCGCATGGACGCACGGCAGCTAACGGTTAGCAGGATCTGGATCCTGCTAACTGTTAGCTGCCGTGTGAGAACATAGCCTAAGTACCTCTCTATATGTGGCAGTTTTGTAGAGAGTCAGTAGCCATTGCAAGCCCCACTCAGCAATTGCTACTTTACATAATCTAATGTCCTATATAATGTTATCTGAAGCTCAGGCCAGGAATGAATCTATTAAAGGGATCAGTCTATGTCGTTAGACAGCGTAGTTGGAATTAAGTTGTTTTATTACCACTGTCATCAAAGCAGCATTTGCGAGATTTTTTTGTCAGGAAGATTAGATCTTATAAAATATTTCACAGAATTACTAATCATTTCTACCATATATTTGAATAGCATTCTCTACTTATATGAATAATCCATTATTTTATTGTCATCTGTTATTATCCTTTTCATTACACATTATCATTCTCTTGATCTCTTCGTTATGATCATCTTTGTTATGATCATCACATTCATTATGATCATCATTTTATTATTATCTTATCTGTCAATTACGTATTTATACTCCTGACACAATATTTGATATTCTGGCTCTTAACCTTGATTTCAAGGGATTAAAAATCTCACTATGTAATTCACTTGTGTCCTTGAGCAAGGCACTTAGGCTATGATTGATTCTTTTCATGTAGGAGTGTGATACAAATGGGTACCTGGTATGCTCCAACTCCAATGCCCTGATTACTAACTGCAGTATAATGGAATACTCCTCCAGGGAGCTAAGAATGTGTTCTAGGTGTTTGATCTGTTGGATGAGTAAAAACGTGAAACCCTGTTGGCACATGATGCACAATAATAATTATTTATTTACCTTCGTCCAAATCTACAGTCATCAAACAAGCTTTTATTAGATATTCCAAGGACTAATTCTTCTCATGGTGACCGAAGTTGGGTGGTACTGCACTGCGGCTACCGCAGGTCAAACTTCCAATTAGAATGAGGACCAATAAAGAATTATTATTATTATTATTATTATTATTGTAATTATGTTTGTTGTTACTGTTATTATTTTATTATTATTATTATTATTATTATTATTATTATTATTATTATTATTATTATTATCTACTTTAATGAAATATAATAGGATAGTGATTTCATTTTCAAAAAAGTCTTCTTTCCTCTCATTTCCAATCATATAGTGCATCTGTTCGAAGAAGCAGCAAGAGAGATAAAGATAAGATAAGCCGTCAAGATGCCAGAGCAGAAGCTGAGTTCATTCACATATTTTCCGAGGTGAGTACTAATACCCGATTCACACGTGAAGTTAAATTTAACAAAAAGTAACAAATTGTAACCGAGCGATCTCCCAAGTTATTCCTACCGAGATAAAAAGCATTCACACGCGTCTGTAAGGTAATGCCAAGGTCGTGTAAAATTTACTCAGTGTTTATTCAATGAATCATTTTTTCCCCTACTGTGATATAGGTCTAGCCTGGGCCTAGTTGAGAACCCCTGTCACAGATGGACTGTTGAACTCACCATCACAGTAAACATTCGAAGCAATCAATACCCTTAACAACTGCTGTACTACTAAGACTACTAAACTAGGCATAGCTTCCAACGTTTCTGTCAAC